GTTGGATTATGCGTAATTGACTGTTTTAAAGCTTATCATACCTTAAAACACTTCTGAAAATGGTTTTTGATTGAATAAACATATGTTTTCGCTATTTTAAAAAACTTAACTTTTTCAAAAAAAAACCCGCCAACAAAGGGTTAAATTATATTGAAATGTGCTAAGAGCAAGCAATGATCGCTGCTGTTGAAGAAGCAATTGGTGAAGCTGGTGGTACACGAGAGCTAACAGTTACTGGAGATGGTGTGTGGCTTACACGTGGACATAGAAGTGTACACGGTGTTTCGGCTTTGTGTTCCACAACAAAACATCCGAAAGTTTTAGATACTACCTGGTGTTCTAAAAAATGTGTTAAATGTCAGGGCGCGGAAAGTCTACGTCATTCCGATCCTTCTTTATTCACGATGTTTCAAGAGAACCACAAATGCCAATTTAATTATACAGGCAAGTTGTTCTAGAGTACAAGCCGCTTCATAATAAAGTTCTGTCTAATTCAGGTTCATCCGGTGGAATGGAAAAAGAGATGATTCACGAAATGTTTTGTCGTTCATTAGCAAAATATGATGTGAAATATATTTCTTACGTTGGCGACGGAGATGCCAAAGTAAACAAATATTTGATCGGTAATCCTACATACTCTACTATTGATGTAAACAAACTTGAAGATACTAATCATTTTACAAAACGAATGTTAACCCGCATAATGAAAATCAAAAGAGAAAATATTAATAAGATTTTATGTGATGGCAAGAGACTCAGTGGCAAAGGTCGTCTGACTGTTGGTCAAGCAATCAAATTTAAAATATATTTTGCTAAAGCAATTCGTGAAAATAAGACTGATATAAATAAATTATATCGAGCTTCATGGGCGATATTCAATCATCATTACTCAACAAATGAAGAACCAATGCATGATTGGTGCGATGCGAAATGGTGTAAGTATCTCCAAGCTAAATCAGTTGATCAAAACTTTGTAAATTCCAAAACATCTATTCGAGGGGGTTATCAGGCCAATAGATGTCACTATTTCACTAAGTCTTTAATTAGTTGTTTGGCGGTACATTTAAAATCGATATTAGCACCATATTTTTGAAAGAACTTTTTGAATATGTTTGGCAACTTCTGTGAAACATCCTTGCCGTAACAGTTTCCTGTACATGTCCCAAAGGGTTTTCTAAAAGTGTTATAATCGTGCATGTTTTTGACAGTTGAAGCAGTTGTCCTAAATCGATACGATAGTAACGAAACACCTGAAGGTATAATAAAAAAGAAATGATGCGGCAGAAGAATGGCTTGATCCGTGTTTTTCGGGAAGTTTCTCAACTGTACAAAAAGGCTGCCTGATTTTTTTTATAACACAAAAAAATCCGCGAATCAAATCGAAAAAAAACGAATATAATTTGAAATATTACGATTCGAATGATCAAGAAATCGCTCGCTTGATTCATTCTACTAAATAATTACGGCAATAATTTTACTAAAGGTTGTCATATAAACGTACATCTATTATGGATAGTAGTTGTATATACATTCTTTGAGTTTAATTTCGATGACATTTATGTTGTGACGAATATCAATTACGTGGAAAAAACGAAACGGAAAAATGAGTACCTCTCGCTCGTTCTGATATTCTGATATTGTTTCAATGTCAAGAGCCGCTTGTGTCAGACAAATTTCATAAATACAGATCACAGTTACTCGTCCGTCATTGACTCCGCATGAATCGGCGAACGCCTCAGCAACTTGTCGATCTTTCGATGTTGACAAAAATGCTTTATTCATCAATCGAGTACCAACTGAATATTCATTCAAATCTTCTTCTGTTATTCTCATGCCACGGTATGTCTCACCAACGAATGAAAACTGACCGAGAGATGGATGAAATGTCATTATTGCAAGAATATGCCATTGTGCAAATTTGTTACCATCATCATTCTTCTCATGCTCTATGGTTAAGTATTTATTGATTATTTTGTAGTAGTTAGTCTCAGCGGTATAGGCTTTAATCAAATAGGTAGCGTCTTCATCTTGTAGAGCTTTATTATAAAAATATCGAATCAATTCCTTTTTATCAAAATCATTCGCCTCCAAATATTTACTCCATATTTGACGCACACGATCATCAATTCTTGAATCATCTCCTTGAGTATTAAGGCATTGGCGTTTCCGAAAGGCGACATTCTCAGTTTCATCATCACATTTCATCCATTCAATTGTTGCGCCTTCTGTTCCACCGATGAATCTATTCGAGCCATCTTGACGATGAAATAAACGTTTTATTTCATTTGTTTTGGCCTACAGGACAGCTAAGTGAGAAAATGATACCAACAACTGATAAACTTACTTCATCATATGGAGTTAATCCATATTTATTTTTGATACTTCTCACTATGTTTGAGTTTTCTAAAATTAATTTGATGATCTCGATATGTCCGTAACAGGAGGCAGCGTGAAGTGCAGTTGATCCATTCTTCTCTACTCGGTTCATATCATCAATTGTCATTATTTTCAAATAGTTTCGAACTTTATCGACATTGCCACTTCGACAAGCCCAATAAAAATCATACACAGGTAACGATACTGTTGCCATAAACGAGAAATTTTCTTTAGTAGAAAGATGCAAAGTAATGAAAAAGAATTTATTCGGATATGAGAAAAACTCGAAAAATAATAAACGATGAATTATTTTTACTCTTCTATTATTTCACGGGAAAAAATAGAATGCATGCAAGATAGACATTTATTTTCTACTTCTATTGACGCTTTCAGAAAGGAAAACAATTCGCTTGGAAATATAGTTTTCAAAATACCAGTGTTTCTTTTCTTACTTGAAAATCGACAATGTTTCTTCAATGTACAACAGACGCACTTTAAAATGTTTGTTTAAAGAACAAAACCCATAAAAGACTTCCTTCCGAATAAAAATATGTTGTTTTACGCTCTTCTAACTTCACTGAAAATACTCTATCATCTCGTTATGGATAAAACCATTTTTGTTGAAAGATGAAGTCGTACATGCGCGCTCAGAAACCGCGATGAGCCTTTAGTCGGCCGTACCTGTTAGACATACACGTTTATATCCTATTTCTATTTGGTTCCTATTGATATCGAAGAGGATATACAGTACCCTTCAAAACTATCTGATTCTTTCTATATTCTATCCATTTTACCTCAAACTTTGCGTGGCTATAGTAGAATTAAAATATAGGTCACACAAAAAGTTTCAATCCATTTAGCTACATTATTCTGAAAATATCTGAGTTTAACAATTTTGTCCGTCAGACAAGGTTAATTTTTTAAATTACAAGAGATACAGTTATGAATACAAAGTCCTGATTATTAGCCATCCACCCTATCAATTCAGTGGCGGCACAAAGGAGTTGGAGCAGGGGACTGTGGTTCCAAAAATTGGAGTAATGTGGGGTAATGAATAATCATTTGTTTTAAAATGATGTGTTGATTTAATGTTAGTACATCTAGATATTCGCATGCCTATTGTATCTTATATAATCTCACTTGTTCTCGAAAGTCCTAGACTAATGTCCAGGCATGAGTTAAGACTACAATGTCATGCGAATATCCCTAGAATTTTCTACTGATATATAAAGGCATTCGTTTTGTGATACAAGTAGTTATTTATCAAGTTGTATGAAACAGGCGACGTAAGAGAAGTTTTAGTCAAAATAAAATTGTTATAATACAAAGGAAAGGAGAATCAGTGAACGACCGCCTCGACAACTGGCGGCGAGGATTGAAAAGGAAAAGAACACAAATCTTTTGACGAAGGTAAAGAAGAAAAAAAAAAAAAAGAAGAAGATTAAAGAAAATTGACTATAGCTTGACGAAGAAAGACCTTGTAAGCTTTCTTCGGAGCTGGTCGTGCATTTGAATTAGCTGATAAGCAAATAGCAGATATAAAAAGTTCAACAAGCCGAAACGAAGAAATTAACAGAATTGATAATGGTAAAAATAAAACAGCAAAATCATACTCTGCAATGGTAAATTATAGTTATTGCGGCAGGCAACGTACAAAAGGTCAACAACATTGTCCAGCGACGGGAATTACATGCAGACAATGTGAAAAATTGAATCATTTTGCAAGAATGTCTAGAACCAAAAGTTATCAACAACCACACCAGGCACAAGCGTTCAACTACCCTAATTACAAGGGAAATAATAAGTGTTGCCTAAGCTCAAATAGGTCATCAAATATAACTTCAATTGATACAGAACAAGCAGCAACAATATCACAGCACAAGTGTTCAGATTCAACTATTGATAATGAATATTTATTTATGTTGAAATCAGATAATGGTAAATTTCCATATGCGAAAGTCACATTCAATGGTTTTCATGGTAATAATACAATTACAATGATGATTGATACTGGCGCATCTATTAATGTGATTGACGAACAAGCATATGAACAATTAAATCCAAAGCCAAATTTAATTGAAATGAAAAACCAAGCATGGGGTTTTCAATCAGATAAACCAATTGCGTTTATGGGACAATTTACATGTAATGTTTCAGTAAATGATAAACAAATCAATGCTGATTTTGCAGTGGTAAAAGGACGGGAAAAATGTATTTCAAGTTTTGAATTATGCAAACAGTTGCGTATCGTCAAAATACAAAGCAACATTCACAATATTAACGGTAACGAATTCGTTAGAAAAGTGAAACGTGATTATCCAAATGTTTTTAGCGATAAAGTCGGTAAGCTTAAGAATTATGTCGTGAATTTAGACATTGATAAAAGCATCAAACCAGTTAAAATGAAGCATCGACGAATTCCATTTAGTTTAAGAGAAAAAATGAGTACAGCTATTACGAAAATGTTAAATGATGATATTATTGAACCTGCCACTGGTCCAACAGTATGGTTGTTACCAGCTATGGCAGTTCCAAAGAAAAATGGTGAAATACGAATTGTCATTGATGCACGTACAGCAAACAAAGCAATAAAACGAACACGTCATATAACACCGACAATTGATGAAATTGTATCAGACATACATGGTGCAAAAGTATTCTCCAAAACAGATTTGCGACAAGGGTTTCATCAAATTGAAATTGGCGAATCAAGTCGTTATATCACAACATTTAGTTGTCATGACGGTATATATAGATACAAAAGATTGAATATGGGTATCACACCAGCACCTGAAATTTTTCATTTTATTGTTGAACATGACGTTCTTCGACGCTTACAAGGTGTTAGAAACATACAAGATGATATTTTAGTTTATGGTATGAATGATGATCACCATGATGAAAATTTAATTGAATTGATCAAGCGTTTGGATGAATTAGGCCTAACTGTGAACATTGATAAATGTGTATTTAAACAACCCAAAATCGAATATTTTGGACTGGTGTTTTCACAAACTGGTGTGCAACTTGCTGAAAGTAAAATTCGTGCTTTAAAGGAAGCAAAAGCTCCAACAACACCTGGTGAAGCAAATAGTTTATTAGGCTTAAGTCAATATTGTTCAAAATTTATTGAAAATCATGCAATGATTATTGAACCAATACGTAAATTAACGCGTGATAAGGCAGAATGGAAATGGGGTGAAGCTGAAAATAAAGCATTACAAGCATTAAAAGAGGCATTAACTAATAAATCATTAGCGTTTTATGATCCAAAATGGAATTTGGAATTGGTCGTTGATGCAAGTTCAATCGGTTTGGGTGCAATATTAACTCAAGTGAATCCAAAAGATCCAAGAGATAAACGCGTATTAAGCTTCGCAAGCAGGGCACTATCTGACGTTGAGCGCCGATACTCACAAATCGAAAAGGAAGGCCTAGCATGCGTATGGGGCTGCGAAAAGTTCCATATGTATCTTTACGGTCGAACCTTTACACTGGTAACAGACAATAAAGCCCTACAATATATTTTCAAAAAATCCAAAAGCAAAAACACCAGCACGTATAGAAAGAATGTGTTTACGTCTGACCCAATACGATTTCATTGTAAAACATCATCCTGGTAAAGGCAATTCAGCTATTATTTATCTCGCAATCCAATTATATTAGAATTTAAATCATCAAATGGTACTGAAGAGTATATTAATTGTTTATTTGAACATGCCTTACCAAAAGCAATCACACGAGAAGAATTATTGAACGAAATTTTGAACGATAAAGTATTTATTAGTCTAAAAAAACGTATTAATGGAGAAGTCAACGGTGATCTGTTAGGCGCAACCAAGAGATTTGACCACATATTTAATGAATTATGCGTTACATCTGATGGAGCAATTATGAGGAATGATAAAATTGTTATTCCAGAAAGCTTATATGATCGTGTAATTGATATAGCGCATGATGGGCATCAAGGCGTCAAGAAAACAAAAGCATTATTGAGATCAAAAGTGTATTTTCCAGGTCTAGATAAATTGATTGAAGCACGTTTGAGTAGTTGTTATACTTGCCAAATAAATTCACCAACAGTGTAACATGAACCATGTCAAACGTCAAAATTACCATCAGGTCCATGGCAATTAATTGCATTAGATTTTTATGGCCCGACTGAGTCAGGTACATATTTATTATTGATTATAGACGAATATTCACGATTTGTAATAATTCATGAAGTGAATACAACAGCATCGCATTATGTATTACCAAAATCACACGAATCATTCTCACTATTTGGTATTCCACAAATAGTTAAAACTGACAATGGCCCAACATTTAATGGAGCTGAATTTGGCAATTTTTGGAACTATTATGGCATAAAACATAGAGCTATTACACCATATTGGCCAAGAGCTAACGCAGAAGCTGAGAGGTTTATGCAAAATTTAAGAAAGGTATTCCAAAATGCAAATGTAAATCAAATAGATTGGCATTTTGAATTGAATCGGTTCCTTGCCGCATACAGAGCAACTTCTCATTCAACAACAGGAATAGTACCGTCAAGTTTATTATTTAAGCACGAGTCCTGTTCAAGATTGATTCAATTATATGAGAAACGTCCATTTCAATTTAATAACGGTGATATTTCAGCTAAATTGAACGATGAGATAAATAAACAAAAAATGGCGAAAGATTTCGATAGCAGACATAAAATCAAAGAAGCACATTTTAAAATTGGCGACGAAGTCTTATATCAACCCCCAAAGCACAAGATATCAAATAAAAAGAATCCCAGAAGACATACAGAACCATACAAAACATTAGGTATAAAAGGGGCAATGATAACAGTTGGCCGTGGCGATATCAAATTTACAAGAAATTCATCGCATTTTACATTATTCAAAAAGAGAAATAACCTATTAAACAATAATAATCGATTTTATTGTTCAAATCCCCCTTCAAGCAAATCATCTTCTTCAAATGATCTACGAATTATTCCCACTGATACAGATCGAACAATCATTCCATTAAGAAGATCCACTAGAACAAGAAAACCACCAGATCGTTTACAGTATAAATAAGCAAAAAACCGTTTCTTTTGCTAAGAACTCAACTATTTTAAGATTTTATTTTGTTGAATTTTATTTTATTGTGGAAAAAAAATAGAAAAATTGAGGGAGGATGTGGGGTAGTGAATAATCATTTGTTTTAAAATGATGTGTTGATTTAATGTTAGTACATCTAGATATTCGCATGCCTATTGTATCTTATATAATCTCACTTGTTCTCGAAAGTCCTAGACTAATGTCCAGGCATGAGTTAAGACTACAATGTCATGCGAATATCCCTAGAATTTTCTACTGATATATAAAGGCATTCGTTTTGTGATACAAGTAGTTATTTATCAAGTTGTATGAAACAGGCGACGTAAGAGAAGTTTTAGTCAAAATAAAATTGTTATAATACAAAGGAAAGGAGAATCAGTGAACGACCGCCTCGACAGAGTAAGTCCAAAAGCGTTTTCTGACAAGTTCGATAAAGTAAAACAGACGATACGAAACTCGCCGTTTTTTCATTTCGCACTTACTGTTGTATAATCGGTTACCATCACATTTGCAGACACACGAAGAAAACTGCATTTTTTGTTGTTCCTTCATATATTTTTGATCAGTATCAATACTACACTCGTCCAACTAATGATTCTAGTCCGGACTTGTACCTGTGCCTCTCTTGGGAGGAGATGTTCTATCTTGTTCCCGCTTTCTCCGATTTTGTCGCATTTCTGGAGCAAAAGCAGCCGGGAACTCGAGAAAACGGCAAGTTTGCGCGCAAAACCTGTAAAATCTGTTTGCCGAAATCGGAGTAAACTTAATCCACTTTTCACAAAATTGGTATAAATTTCTCATACTTCTGGTTCAAATCGGAGCAAATTTCCGAAAGTAGTAGGGGTGTACACCCCTCACACAAACGATCGCACCGCTGCATCAGTTTCACGTGTGGACATCGGTCCTGTAATGAGATACATGGATTTTTCTACTTTGGGAACAGTTCAAAGTTAAAAATATTTTTATTTTTATTTGGAATCTTTCATTTCAACTAGACGTATGCAGAATACTCACTGATGTTTGTGGATTACACATACAAACATAATTGGTAGTTGGTCACTATGTCTCAAAGTAGAGTTCAATGTGGCTGTGAACCACAAATTGAGATCAAAGTGCAAATGATTTTTTTATTTAAATAAATAAATAAACTACAATCCATGAGGATCATCCTCAAGTATAATAATGGAGAAAAACATTTGAAATGACGATAATTGAAGGTTCGATAATTTTCACTCCAAAATGTTATAGACGTTTAGAAAACCTCTCTTTATTTATTTCAACTTTAAGGCCTAAGCGTTCGAATTAGAGACCTGCACGGGTTAAGAAAACGTAATCCGAATCCGATCCGACACGATAAATTGTTACTCTTTTGTTTCGTTCTTAAGTTTATGTCTTTTTATTTACTTATTTGTCTGGCGGAGGGTATCGCATCACAGGCGAGTGACCTTTTGCTAATAGTCTGCTAATACTACAGAAAATTTGAGCATTATATCTTTCTAAATTCGCTTGTTACTGAACGTTTCTTCTTGAATGCGAAGTGTTTTTCTAAACCAAGAGAACATCCTTAAAAAGGCCAGAACAACTCTATCGTTTTTCCTTTGAGGCAATTAATCGTCACATGATATCCTTTATACTGAGCACATACTGTAGTGTTTGATGCGATGAAATCTAAAGCAGAAGGTTTGACAAGTGGATGAACCAGCTGATATGATAATATGAATAATATCCCGTAGAAGAACATTATCTTTCTGAAAAAAAATCGACTCTTCAATCTTCCCGCTCCGGGTTCTCTAGTTTCCTTTTGTCTCACAAACGGGAAAGCACACACGTGACAAAGCTAATTATCTTTTTTGTTTTCTTCCTATACCAGAACGTTTTCAGCAGGAAAAAATGCACGCAGTATCATCTCTAATAAAAAAGAAATGTCATCATCGAAAATTGTGCGGTTTGGAAAAACATTGCTTTCTTTCAAGAAGAAAAGTTCAATAACTAGCGAATTTAGAAGGATATAATGCTCATATTTTCTGTAATATTAGCAGACTATTAGCAAAATTACAAAAGAAAATTCTAGCTCTTGATTCTATGTTTTTACTGGGTTACAGAATTATTACTGTTACCACGCACAGTGTTAAATGATTATCTTTATTTTAAATTGTGCTGCAAAATGTTCAATTCGAACGTGACCCGATCCCAAAGGGCGGATCGGGTTCGGGTCTGGATGTCGGTCTCTGGTTCGAATGTCTTCGAGCGACAGTGCACATATAAGGTATAGTAGCTGTGAAAACGACGTAAACTAAGAATAAGCAGAGATTTCGTAGCGGACACAATCGTAAAACTGAAATATTTTGAGAATCACGCAGCCAAATGACTTGAAACTTTTTGTCACCTACATTTCAAGTCTACTATAGCCATACAAAGTTTGAATAAAAATGGATGGATTATGGATTATGATAGAGAAGGGTATCAGATACCTTTGCCGACTATTGCACCTTTTTAAGGTCAAATTTTTCTTTTTTCGTTCACCTTCGCTGCTAGTACATTGTTGATGAAAAAATGTATTGCCACAACTAAACGACAATGGTGAAAAGAAAATACAATTTTCGAGTATTCTCTCACAGATGTGATTTTTATTCAAGGTTACTCATTTTTTTATACCATTGTTGTTGAGGAATCAAAATTGTTCGACAGATAATAATTAGGCATGTGTAGTATCCGGTTCTGATGCTTTTACTTTTCGGCCTGATATGAACAAACGATAGAATAAATAACCAAGAGATTTTTTAACGCAAAAACATAAATGTCTTTTTCACAAATAATGCTGGAACATAAATTGGAACTACAGAGAATCAAGTACTTGTGGTACTTACATGTTCTTTTATACATACATACAGCGCAACAACAACATAAAACTAGGGATCATCGTCTTACGTGTTTTCCGCGCTTTAATCGTAACATTGTCAATTATGCGGTGTAATCTAGCATAAAATTATTCAAACGAAAACAATATCGTTCAAGTGTACTAATGAAGATTTTATGAGACCAGAGCTGTCTTATACACTGTAAATAAAAAGTCTTATTTTAATGATCATTCTTTAACAGAAATCTTCGCTATATAATAACGGGCGTCCCTAGGTAAATGGTGATCTCAGTATTTCGTTAATATTTCGCTCAGTTTTCATTGTCAAGGCTTCAACCTGTTTTTTAAAGATTTGTGGTTTCATTCTCCACAAAAAAACATATTTAACCTTTTTGACATACCGTAGAAATAAAAGTATATAGACGAAATACTGCGAAGCTTCAATTTCCATTACCTTCAGACTAAGAAAGACAGTATTTCAACTCTAATTCTTTGTATTTTGCGGTACAGAATAAGAGAAGATGACCATTTTATAGCTCTTGAAAAGCCCGATCAATTGGTTATGTTTAAAACTCTTCATAATCGTTATTCATTGCGGCAGATGTTTTTACTTATATTGACTTAATCAAAAATCGCCGTTTTCAAACTGCAGCTTTGGAAGCATCTGGAAATTTATTAGAAATCGGTCAAAATTGAGTATTTTGAGGTCTAGTTTGTCTTATCTTAAAGCAAAGTAATTATTCTGTTACATCTAAACAGAGGAAGTTGGACAGCTTCATTTCCTTTCCTTTCCAAGTCGAAAAAGGTGGAAATTTTTCTTTTTTTTGGTGGGCCGTGCTAAAATTGCCTTTCAGAAAAAGACGTTCACAGCAACCTCTGACACATGCAAAGAAAGGCAACACTTCTAGGTGTCAGAACATACATTTGGATTCTACTTTGATGCATAACATCAAAACAAATATCTTTTCGTTGTGTTTTCTATTTGAAAGTAATGGTAATTGAAACTCCACAGTGTTTCATCTATATTCTGCTATTTCTACGGTATATAAAAAGAGATTCAGTATATTTTTTTGTGGAGAATGAAACGACAAATCTTTAAAGAAAAGTTGAAGCCTTGACAATGAAAACCGAACACTATATTAACGAAAAATTGAGACTGCCATTTATCCTGGGGCACCAGTTAGATAAAAAGTTAGTATATTGCAGACGTGTTTACACAAAAATATAAATTCTGTGCAATCGAAATCCTTTCTGGGTTTTTTTTATACAAATTTTCGTATAAATAAGATACATTATACATTTTTTGTTGGGATCAGTTTATATTTCTCTTTTTTTTTCTTCTAGAAGATTATTCATTTAAGTTTGGAAGAAAGATGTGCTTAAACGAATGTACACTATCTTCATTCTATCATCATATGATAATTGTGAAATAGATCATTTATTAGATAAATAATTATATATCAAATTATACGTTACATGTAGGAGTAGGACAAGGCCAAGAGCGTCTTAATGTTTGTGAATTATATCGTGTACATGTTTTATCATTTGGGTTATCAATTGGATGCCATCCATCATGACATTCATATTTATTAATAATATCTTCAAATACAGATTTCGGTACATCATCTAATATAACCTCATTAAAATCAGTATATCCCGTATCTAAATCTTCAAGAAATCGTACTGGCATATTACTATCAGTTTTAATATATGTATTTCTTATATTTCGAACAGGTCCTTCGCCAGTAAAATTAGAAAACCATTCTACTTCCCATAATGTTGCCAAATTATTATTAATATAATGTTCTCCACCATATGTTGCATTTGATGAACATAAATAATTATTTTTCCAAGATGGAAATTTATATTTACAACATATTTTATATGTATCATATATATAATAATTATATTCTTCATAAAATAAAACACTACAAGGAACATAATTACTATCAATACCTTTATTCCATAATTGTAAAAATGCACATGTTGGATAATAATCTACTCTAATACCATTGTAATTTTGATTAAAATAAATTGAACCATTACTAAATGTATCATCTGACATATTATACGAAGTTGTATTTAATGCTTTCCATACTAATGGTAATATGGGAGGAATAGGTGTTGGTTTTTTTATATTTAATTTTAAATTTAAATCTGTTAATTTTTTTACATTTAAATTTTGAGTATTATGAGATATTGATGAATTAACGCATTGATTTGTCATATATTGTGTTTGTGTATCTGTAGAAGGTATAGTTAATGATAAACATGTTAGACCAGGACAACACCACCGATCAGAATTTTCACTTTCTGTATTATTTACACAATTAATACGAGTTTCATCCATACAACGTAATTCTGATGATGCAGAACATTGTGGATATTGATATGCTAATGATTCCACAACTCTTGTTATAGACCACACAACAATAAATAATCTAATGTTCATCATGATTTTTCTAAGCATTAAAAATATGTTCCACTTTCTAGAAATTGAAAGAAGATTGGCAAAGAATAATCTGCTATTATGAAATGCTGTTCTTTTCAAATTACGGTGACGGTGACCATTTCTCGAAAATAGCTCGAGAACGAAAAGAGATGGAGACGTTCGACTTCCACCATGTGAAAGAGGAACCCTGAGGACATGTTTTTCAAAGCAAAATTGTTTTCAAAAGAGTTTTCTGAAAAAGGTTTTCTAGAAGATCTTTGAAAAACCAGATCGTGTGTGAATATTTTCCAATAGAATTGTATTGATTTTGTTAGGAATGTAAGACTCATAGTCATACATATCTTCTGAAAAATGGGAATCAAGTGAGACGTTGATTTTACGTGGCTCTGACTTTGTATCCGATTTCCAACGAATCCAAGGTCTGGCATCTGGTGACTATTGGTAGACTTGAGAATGAATGGACTATAGGTAATCAGAAATTGGGGTTCTTTGTCTGTTTTCACCTAATTTTAAAAAATTCGCTATTCATTCAAATACATGACAATGAGTCAAAAACTGTCGGATATGGTTAATTCTGTTCGCTAAACGCTATTATAAAATCGAAAAAAGCAAAATAAAAAAAAATATTCACACATGATCTGGTTTTTCAAAGATCTTCTAGAAAACCTTTTTCAGAAAACTCTTTTGAAAACAATTTTGCTTTGAAAAACATGTCCTTAAGGTTCCTCTTTCACATGGTGGAAGTCGAACGTCTCCATTTCTTTTCGTTCTCGAGCTATTTTCGAGAAATGGCCACCGACACCGTAACTTGAAAAGAACAGTAGTACATGGTCATCGGATAAGGATGCCTCAGCAGAAGTCTTAGGATACCCGAACGGTGATAAATAATAATCTCGGATATGGGCAGATTTGTAGAGACCACTGGAGACTAACTTATATAGCAATAAAAAGTAATTGAAAAGTCCAATGGCGTTTTTAAGAACGGGAGTCTCTCGGATTTTGTCCGATGTAATACACTACCGTAGGCCCGAATTTCAAAATCATTTTTCCATAGGTGGATAGCCCCAAGGTTTTAGTACGACATGGCAAAAACCCGACCTCTCCAGAACGAAAAATAACAGAGATATTCAAAACATTGCAAAGTGCATTGTATTTTAAAATGAATGGTAATTTTTATCTTCTGTCACTGTTTCATCGATGTGCACAGGTTATATACTTTAATTTAATATGAAGATAGGTGAATAATCCCAAACATAATTTATGTGTCCGCAAACACGACGTGGAGTTTACGCTAAGATAGTAATGGGAGCTAAATACTATTTATCGATCGTATCGAAGTCAAGGGCATCCTCTCTTCCTCTTTTCGCCTGTGTTACAAAGTCGAAAGGATACGTGCGATTTAGGTGAAAACTTAGCGAGAGCTTTGAAATCGAAAAAGAAAATCGATGTGTGTGTTTTTTTTTAATTTTAAAATCGTCTATGACTCGAGAAGATAATACCAGAAAGGTTTTAACCACTGAGATATAGTCTCAAATAGTTACAGTAAAATTTTAGACCTAATAAGATGAAGGTTCGATTTGATTGTATTACAGCCGGCAAAACTGAATGAATTTTTAAAATTTAAAGCGATTTGGTTGAGAAATGAAAGTGGCAGAAGGTATTTATTTTAGTACTGTCACAGCGGAAAAACTTGTCTCTTGAAGTTTCTGTAACTCGGTCAGCAAAACAAACATTGCCACGAGATTCTCCGTGTCCGAAAACTATATTTCATGTAGTTTTACTATTTTCCGACTTCAGATTTAGCTGATAGGTTGATCTCCGGAGGTTGCCTGTGTCCTCAGAGCCATGGTCGATAGAGGGCTGGAGCTTGCGTCAGGTTGTAGACGACATGCTTTCTATTTCGACATGAATTTAGATCAGTATTCCGCTATATAGATTTTTGGAATGGCAAGCTCGAACTTTTTCACTCTACAAGTGCACCATAGTAAACCTGTTCGGAAAACCTATCGATGGAAAACCATCGATCGAAGTCCTCCGATATCTACTTTAAAAAACTGAAAACGCAGGGCTTCCAGCTCTTACCGACAACGGCAACGAGCTATTCAAAAAATACCAGCGAACACCTTATTTTGAAAGGGATAGTAGCATGCTGTAGTCAAATTACAGTGAAAAACAGAACTGAGAGACAGAAAATTATATACTGCAATCTACTTCTTTCCCTTCTGTGTAGTAAAATTAAATTTTATTCTTATATTGGTCCGCTTCACTGGACGGATGAAAATATAATCTGCACATAGCATAATTTGATCGAAGTAGTAACGTTGATAAAATCCTTTGCTAAAGTGTTAACTATGATAATATAATTCATCGAAGTTGATACTTGCTTCAATGAAATAAATTCATCTAAGCATTAGTTTTGACAAATTTTCACAAACGCCTATACTCAAATTAAGTAATACTTTACTTTTATATGTTATGGTTTAGAACTTCACTCTTTTTTTTTTTTTTGGAAATATTTCTTTTATAGCGCATTATTCGCTTTCTTCTTTCGATGTCATGATGACACGATATCACAGTAGTATAACAGGTAGATAAACTACATCATCAAAATAAAAAACAATGTTAATTTTAGATTTCACAATGACTATGAATAAAAAATTATCTTTGCAAAGAAGTAAGAAGAGAAAGAATATTTGTGGTGAATAAGCAATGAATTATATTCACACTCACACTTATTACTCTGGATTGTAGAGAAAACGAATTAATATCTGAAACATGTCAGCTGGATCGCATAATGGATGAACTAGTCCATTAAATTGATGTCTGAGCTATGAGAGGAAAATAATGTATTATAGCAATGGAATCTAATATTACTTACATAATTTATGTATAAGCATAATCAGCAAAATATTCTAAACCAAACTGTATAGTTTTAGAAAGTTTAGAATCTATCTGTTTATGCCCAATTGATAAAGCTGGAAAGTTATGTGAATTATCGGTTATAATTAGGGGTGGCAATATTACTATTACTCATGTATTACATTACCGAGAAAAATAATACTAAGAGATATATACTACTGTTACTAGTAACAGTAATCTTCCATATATTCCTATTACCAGTAACAGTAATATTCATAAAATTAGTATTACTTTTTGGTAAAGTAATACAAGAAAAAAAAATTCAATAGGGGGTGCCAAAATCAATACGAAATAATATGGTGGTTTCGTGTTGATAGTGGCGGCCCTACTGAATCTTTATTTTTCGTATATTACTTTACTGAAAAGTAATACTAATTTTATGAATATTACTGTTACTGGTAATACTAATACTGCCAGTATTGCTGTTATTGGTAACAGGAATACTGTTCAGTATTACTGTTACCAGTAACAGTAATATATACGATATTTGTATTACTGGTAACAGTAATAGTATAATCAATTAAAACAAGCATCTGTTTCATCATGTACATCAGAATACACACTTCAAAAGAAAACAACACGTACAGAAAATAGAACTGATAAAGTTGTCACTCAGAACCTTGATAACAAAAATACCCCTTTTAAAAAATATTTATGAATAGCAGTTATACTACCGCCGATATCAAAATACAATAGTACCACGACAATTTTCTATGCAAATCAAATTGACAATAAAGTACCATGTTACCTTATTAAAAATCCATCAAAGATAACCTATGAGTGGGTCCCCAGGCGGAACTCGTACATAGGATCATATTAATAGCAGAATTAACTTGTTGTTGTGTTACCATTGAATTTCTCGTGAAAAGTTGCATATCAAACTGGTTTTTATGAATCTTTAATATATTATAGCACAAAAAAACACTGACTGAAGCAAGCTTCAAAAGCTCGGTGCCCCCGACCGAGCCCCCGAAGCCATTTTAGCAAAACCCACAAATCGCCGTATGGACTATGATAGTACACCTGATGTACTCCAAGAGTATACTAGGGGGCTCCAGAATGGCCCCGTTTCCATGGAGAAAATCATTTCTCAAAATCGCCCAAAATTGCAACTTTCAAATCGTCTGTATTGAAAACGAAAACTTCTGAGACCGCCAAATTTTTACCATATATGTTTTGACATATGATCTATTTGAAAATATGGTTGAAAGTCTCACGGTCTACTTCGTTTCAAATGGGTGGTACAGGAAAATTCAAGGTTTACTGGACTTGGGTTCTTAGTGCGCCATCTATTACAAAATAACGAAAGCATCTTTGAGCTCGCCGTTGCATGGATTTGTAGTAGACATTATCTGCTACTTATGGTAAAATCGCCAAAGCTAAGTAATCTGTTGTTACAGAGTTAGAAGAGTTTAAAGCTGGCAAATTTTCAAGATGGCGGAATTCACCTTTTTCGGGGCGTTTCGTAAAATTTCAATATCTCAGCAACGATACAGCTTCTTGATTTCCGCTTTTCACCAAAATTCATTAAAATGTTTGGTCTGAAAGAGCTCCCTAGTTTGAAAAGGTTTTGAGAACATCGATTGAAGAACGTCGGTCGTGCCTTACGTGCAATGGCTCATAAGTAATACGCTGTCTATCATTACATTTTCTCAGTCTTGAACACGAGATTTTGGTTGTGGTATTTATCTAAATTTTTACGTCTATTATTTGTTTATAACCGTTTTATTTTTTTTAGCAAAATTTTATACATAGTACTAAGATGCATGCACAACCTGGAACAATCAGTTGTTATACAATCTCGTCCACATGGTGATAAATCCAAACTGAACAATTGTGCATATAAACTGTATTTTATTTGAATTTATTTTAAAATTTTTACTTACATTGGTTGATTGGTTCCATGCCAGTGTTTCGATCGAACGTACAGTTAATGTAATATTAGGAGCCAAATTTAATAAATACAAAAAATTAAGTACACGTGTGGCAAAACATATTTCGATTATGATCGTTTTATTAAACATTGCCAGTTCTGTGCACAATCCAATTTATCGTCGTATTATGGATGATGCTATTGAACAACG